GATGGAACTCGGAGGAGGCCTAATCTATGGGATCTAATTGGTCTAGTGGAGGTAATTGGCAGTAGGCGGTCTCTCAAGGCGGTCTCTCTTAATGGGAATATTCTGAAATAGGAAAAGAAATTTTGGTAATACGTTCATTTTTATGACTGAGATCCTACCCATCAGAGACAGTTGTAGGTTTTTCCACCTTTCTAAGTCTTTCTTAGTTTTATTGATCAAACTAGTATAGTTATCTTCTTTGATGGTCACACATCAAAAACCTCCACTGTTGGAGCACTCAAAACTTCTGAAGGCAAGCTGTTCCACTAATTTATTGTTCTAACTGTCAGGAAATGTATCCTTAGTTCTACATTATTTCTCTCCTTAATTTACTTTCCACGTATCACTTCTTGTCGTGCCTTCGGGTGCTTTGGAGAATAGCTTGACCACCTCTTTGTTGAGATATCGGATTGCTATGATGTCTCCCCTAGTCCTTCTTTTAATTAAACTAGACATACCCAATTCCTGCAACTATTCTTCAAATGCTTTATCCTTCGGTCCCCTAATCTTCTTTGTTGCTCTTCTCTGCACTTTTTCTTGTGTCTCAACTTCTTTTTCATATTGTAGTAATCAAAACTGGATGCAATATTCCAAATGAGGTCTTACCAAGGCATTATAAAGTGGTATTAACACTTCATGTGAACTTGATTCTATCCTTCTAGTAAGGCAGCCTAGGACTGTGTTGGCTTTTTTGTCAGCTGCAGCACATTGCTGGTTCATATTTAAGTGATTGTCCACTAGGACTCCAATATCCCTCTTGCAATTACTACTGTTGAGCCAGGTATCATTCTATTCTATACCTGTGCATTTGATTTTTTCCCCCCTAAATGTAAAAGTTTACTTTTTTCTATGTTGAATTTCATTTTGTTAGATAGCACCCAGTGTTCAAGTCTGTCAAGATCCTTCTGTATCTTGAGCCTGTATCTTCTGGAATATTGGCTATTCCTGCCAGCTTGTCTAAATCTTTGATAAAGTTATTGAAGACAACTGGGCCTAAGACAGACTCTTGGGGTACCCCACTGCATACATCCCTCCATGTAGAATAGAATAGAATAGAATAAGTTTATTTATAGGCCGCCCTTTTCCCTGAGGGGACTCAGGGCGGCTAACAACTTATATGGGAGGGGGTACATNAGAGAGAGAGAGAGAGAGAGAGGAGAGAGAGAGAGAGAGAGATACCAAATACCACTCAGTCAACATAAAATCTCCAGAACCTACAAAGCCTACAAACTTGAAATTTGGCACGTATGTTCCTCTTGGCTTCTAGGTGCTCGCTAAGAAAGGATTTTTTGAAATGACCATCAGATCATTAGTGTATCTAATACGGTAATTAACACTCTCTGATGCTAAGGAGTTCTACTCCTCCTCCCTACCTGAAAAGAACTCTGTTCCAACTGCCAGTTGCCTTATATTAACACGCTCTAATGCTAAGGATTAGAAATTCTACTCCCCCTCCCTACCTGAAATTAACTCTGTTCCAACTGCCAGTTGCCTCATATTCTGTTACCTCAGTTCAAACTGGCAGACGTCCCAGTCCTTCACTCAGGAGCGGTCTGGGGCTCCTTACAGTACTAAACGTCGATACCTCACCAAAATGTCCATGCCTTCCACCTATGGAACTGCTTCCGAACTCAAGGCGGCGAGAGCGATATTCCCTTATGTGTTTCAATCACCAACCATCCCTGAGCCAACGGATTGTGAACCAAATTTCTCCTGTATAGCCTGATCACAAAGTTTCATCGCAAAGCACAGGTATCCAGCTAGTATTGAATATTACATATCCCACCAATGCCACATTCAAGCCTGCAACCATCTTTTCCACATTGAGAAAGCCTCATCTGGACCGAGTCAATACACCCAACCATAAACCAATGAAACAGGCAGGGGGTTGCACAACATATTAATCCACAAAGCAAACTAGCCAAGGTTAAAACTCACCCAAGTTCAGCTTGGTGTGAAGACAGCCATTAGAGCATGAATGAGTCTGGGTAACCATCAACTAAGTTGGTGCTTCCACGTTGAATCCTCACCAAAGGCCTCCGTTGAACAGAAATGAACAGAAGTGGATTTGATTTGGTTCAAAAGAATTTTTGGCTGGCCAGGTAAGTACATATGGACTCTCCCATATGCATACTTTATGCAAAAATAGTTTCCAGTCAACCCTCAACGTAGCGTTTTTTCCTCTAATCCAAAAGAAGTCATCGCCGCAATCTTCATCTGCTTCAAAACTGTTCTTCCATTGCGGGTATTATCAAACTTTTGAGCCTATAATAAGTCGAATCCCCACCACCCCTGAGCTGTGACGTAAACTAGTCCTTTGCATTTGAAAAAGTTTTTTTTTATTTTCATGCATATAAGCACAAGTATAGGATTACATCTAGACAAAGTATTTTGTATTATCCAATATTATATCATTTCCTCTTTCCATCAAACCACAACAGCTATCATTTGCTCTTCTGCTTTCCATGCACTATATTATACCCGATTTCATTGCCGCCCTATCTCCTCTCCCTCTCTTCTCCTCCCTACTTCCTTTCTTCCCTCTGCCATCCTTCTCTTCTCCTTCCTCTCTCTCTCCTCTTTCCACTCCTTCTTTCTCTCCTACTTCTCCTCCCTCTTCTATTTCCCTCTCTCCTATCCCTTCTTCTTCCCTACCTCCTTTCTTCCCTCTGCCTTCCCTCTCTTCTCTACTTCCCCTTCCTCTCTGTCTCCTCTTTCCACTCCTTCTTTCTCTCCTACTTCTCCTCCCCCTTTTATTTCCCCCTCTCCTATCCCCTCTCTTCCTCCTTGCCTCTACTTTTCTCCTTTCCACTCTCTCCAATTAATTTGCATGGTGTATTTCAGCGTCTGAGCACACTTTATTTAATATTGCTGGTATTGATAATTACATTCCAATAAACATTTTGCATTTATTGTCTCTCAGTTTGCAAGAAAATGCCATTGGGGATGAAGGAACGGTTGCTTTGGCCTCTGCCCTACGGGTGAACTCAACGCTGGAAGCTCTTTAGTAAGTTTCTTTGCTACCTAGGAGGGCAGCACATCAGTTAAAAGAGAGGCAGGCGGAAGCATTGGGTGGATGAGATCAGCTCCTGATGGCCCAACTTCTGGGCTCAATTGTGGTCTTCATTCAAGGACTCCTTGTATGTTTAATGGCTGTGTTGTGGCCCGCCAGCAGCCAGCAGAGCTGGCAGCAGACTCAGACAGTGAGGAGGTTGGGGAGGAACATGAGACAATCCTGGATTCTGGGGAAGGCTTTGATGAGGGCTCTGTGTTGGAGGCAGAGAGGGGGCCAGGGCCATCCAACAGTTATCAGCTGCCTTTGGAGTCGGAGATCAATAGGGCAGAAGAACAGCTGGAGCCTGTTCCCGAGGTACGCATGCACAGAGCTGCCAGGAGAAGGGAACAGTTAAAGAACAAGGGCCGAGGTGGACAGTGAATGGCCCCTCCCATAGGGAATAAAGAGGAGCAAAAGGGGAGTGGAGTTTGCAGGAGACAAATAGTTTGCTTAATTGGTTCGTGAGTCTAAAAGACTTCTTGCCAAGTATAGCATTGCGTTTTGAAGATATCGGCTGGCAGCTCTCCAAGCCAGATAAGGAATTCACAGTAGCTTAATAAAAAGGGGTTTTGTTGGGACAAGGAGTCTGTTTCATGGTTGGGGTTAGAACAGGATGATGATTTATCTGTTATTTTGTTATTTCCAACACCAGAAGAGTTTAATGAACTACAATTAGATTCCTTCTCTAAACTTGAGGTCATCAAATCCCAGAAAACTGGCAGTTCTTTTGTGAGTGGAAAAACATCACATTAAAATATTAGAATAGAATAGAATAACAGAGTTGGAAGGGACCTTGGAGGACTTCTAGTCCAATCCCCTGCTTAGGCAGGAAACCCTACACAACTTCAGACAAGTCTAATTTAATTATCTATTGAATCTAATTCTATTATCTTTTGAATAGGACTTTCATTTTCCGCAGGAATTTTATAAGTGAAAAGACCAGCCAGGAACAGTTTTGATCTCACAAGCTTCTCCTATGTGTTTCATCTTGTTTATATGGAAAGCAGAGAGGACAGAGGTCCAAATCATGTTGACATCAAAATTCAGAATCATGAACATTCTAACCTTTCCTTCTTTTGACCATTGATCCCACCTGAGTTCCTGGATGCTCTGGTGAAAGGTAGAACCTTGGTACTCTCTGATCTTGATTGTTTTCCTGAAGATGTTTCCTTACCGAACTAGGTAACATCATCAGTACTAGGGAGTTTGGGGTTTCCCCTTGTTTATATACAACAGCTTGACCCGGCATATCTCCACCAACTCGTGCTTCCTCATGCTGACAACATTACCTAATTTGGTAATGCAACATCTTCAAGCCAACGACCAAGCTCAGGGAACACCAAGGACCCCTTGTCTCAACCCTGAGCTACAAATCCTCTCTTATACTGAATTGGTACTTTGCCAAATGGCAGGCTGGCATAGTTCGAGCCCTCTTAAAAGGTGCTGTTTTGTTTGCAGCCTGCAGGTGGCGGCAATCGGGGTGAGTGGAGCCACAGCCTTGGCTGAAGCATTGGTCGTTAACAAGAACCTTGCCATCTTGGAGTAAGTAATCTCATGTTATTTCCCACAAGGAGGGATCTCATCTTGTGTGAACAACGCAGGAACTAGAAAGGAGGAAATTATTACTGTATTTTTGGAGTATAAGACGCACCTTCCCACTCCCCCCAAAAAGGGGGTGAAAATTTGGGTGCTGAATGTAGCCCCACCCACCCCCACCAGAAGCCAAAAACAGGAGGCATGGAGGCAGCAATGGTCTGTGGCAATCCCTGCAGCCTGGAACAGCTGATTGGGGGAGTATTGGATTGGATTGGATTGGATTTATTCGATTTGTAAGCCGCCCTATTCCCCGAAGGGGCTCAAGAGTTCGGTCTTAGAACCCTCTGAAAAACTCTGAAACCTATTTAGATTTCAGCTGTCCTAACTTCTCACGAGATTCATTCATTTATTCATTCATATATATTTAATGGTGTTTCTTGGATACCACCTGGGAACATTGGGGAAGGGGATCATTCCCTGCCTGGATTATGGGGATGGGGTCTCTCACTCTCCCTTTCTATCTCAGAAATGGGTGAACTGCTCCATCGAGCTGTAGCCTCCTCCTCCTCACGGTTCTTCCTTACTTCTGATTTCAGCCTTAGAGGAAACTCCATTGGTTTGATGGGAGCCAAGGCCATGGCCCACTCCTTGAAAGTTAACAGCACCCTCCGCAGGTTGAAGTAAGTAGCACATGTGGGAAAGGCTGCTTGTGAAGAATACTTACTGTAGGCGAGGGGTGTCCAACCCTTGGCAACTTTAAAGAATTAGGGATTTCAACTTCCGGAATTCCAGAATTTTTAAGATTGATGACTTGTGAGCTTCAACTCCCAGAATTCCCCACCAGCGTGGCTGGCTGGGGAATTCTGGGTGATGAAGTCCACAAGTCTTCATATTGCCAAGGTTGGTGTATGCTATTGCTCAAAATGGAAGCAACCTCTTCTGTATCTCAAAGAATTGGGCTTCCTAGATTTGACGGCAAGTTTCAGCTACTTTAGGGTGTGTATCCTAAGAAAATGAGTTCCAGGTGTAGCTATAAAGGAAGAGACAGACATTGCTATTTCTGGAACTTAAAATATATTATCCATTTAGTTCTAATTAGCTTCTGTTAACATCGTGTAAAAACTACCATTGAAAAGACAAATATCTCTTCAATGGTAGTTTTTACACTCTGACAATGTTAGCGGAGGCTAATGAAAGCTAAGTGGATAATACATTTTAAGTTCCGGAGATCGCAAAGTCTGTCTGTCTGTCTGTCTCTCTCTGTCTGGATGGTCTCCTGGGGTGAGCCGATAGACAGAGAAAGGAAGCAGTATGCTCCCTCNCCATGGCGAGTTGGCTGTAGAAAGTTGGCCATGGCGAGTTGGCTGTAGAAAGTTGGCCATGACGAGTTGGTTGTAGAAAGCTGGCCATGGTGAGTTGGCTGTAGAAAGCTGGCCATGGCGAGTTGGCTGTAGAAAGTTGGCCATGGCGAGTTGGCTGTAGAAAGTTGGCCATGGCGAGTTGGCTGTAGAAAGTTGGCCATGGCGAGTTGGCTGTAGAAAGTTGGCCATGGTGAGTTGTCCTATTCTGTGCACCGTAACTCGCTATTTGTACTGAGGATGTGTTTTATTGGCTTATTGGGACACTTGATCTTAGGGGGAGGCATTGCTCAAAAAGTTCTATTGTGGGCCCAAATGCAAAGAGCAAAACCTTTTGTAACAGCACCATATTAAAACTTTTGGATGCTGGCTATTTAATGATTAATTTGATAGTGTTGGAAGAAATATCTGTCTGGTTCAGTTCCAAGCCGGGAGAAAGATATTGGAGACAAAATGGAGGCTGGAGGTTGATTGGAAAGAGGGTCCATTATTTATTGAGGAAACAGAACCACGTTTGTGGCTCTGGGGCAGCTGGCCACATGGAGTTGAGTGGAGGGGTATTTATATCTTCTCCTGGGCTTTGCACTTGAGCTTCCTGTTCCTGTGCAATAACATGTATTCTATTGGCTGTTGTCAGGTTCCCATAGGGCCATGCACAAACCTAGGAGTTTGTCTGAGCTAAATTTGATTGAAGTTTGGCTGATCCAATGAAAGAGGCAATTCCTATTGTGGCAGAGGGCTAACCCTACCTTCGTTCAGACCTTGCTGCAGGGACTTTGCTTATGAATAGAACTACCCAGATCTCAATAAGCACTTTCTCTCTTAAGTGCTAGCATCTGCTGAGGGCCATCAAGGGGGGCTGCTTTCTGTCTCCAAGGGCATGTTTCTCTATTTCTCATTCAGGGAAATATAATATTCTGCCTTTTAAAAAATATTTCGCAAAATATTTCATTCTTCTAGGAGAGGCGTGGGTGCTAACTTTCTACTATAGCTTTGAGAACCATGTTGGTGTTGCAATTAAAGGCATGGGGCTAGAAACCAGGAAGCCATAAGTATATTACATTATTTTGAAATAACCCCCGTGAAGCTAAATCTTCAATGGGATCCGTACACCTTTCTAACCCTCCTTTCTTTGGGTGTTTCTTCCAGCTTGGCAGCCAACTTGCTTCATGACGAGGGGATCCACGCCATTGCCCAGGCGCTGAAGGAGAACCAAGCCCTCACTTCTCTGCAGTGAGTTGTGGCATTTATGCTGGGGTAGCATTTGCGGTCTTTCTTGGCCTGGCCTCATCCTGGCTTTTAGGGCCTTGGCATCTTCCGAAATGAAAAAGCCAAGTGCAGGACATCAAGCAGGGATGGAAGCCCCCGAGCAGCTCTTGAGTTTCCTACTCCAGGGGAGTATACAAATAGTGCGGTGGGGATGAGATCCCCAGCATAATCTCTGCCTATTACAAAAGGGTGGGAGTTATCCATAATCTCCTGCAGTTTGAAGCTCGTTGCCCACTTGCAAAGTTGCTTCCTCAAAATAGTTTGTTGCGAAAGCGACTGCTTGTGAAGGCTCCTGGATTGGGGCTCAAAAGCGGAATCAATATGCTCCGTCCCATATTTGGGTAGAACAGATTGCCTGATTAAAAAAACACTTACAGCATTTTTCGGAGTATAAGACGCACCTTAGTTTTGGGGAAGGAAAATAGGATGGGGGGGGAATCCTGCCTACCAGGTATTCATCTGGCTAGTCCTTGGCCTGGTCAGCTTCAGCACATTAATTCGCTTGCTGGTTTTGAGGTTGGGGGTGATGGGGCTGTCCGTCTAAAGCACAGCTGATATAAAAATAAAAAGTTTTACAAAAAAAAATAAAATAAAGCACAGCTGATTGTCAGAGGGAGCAGCAATTAGAAAAGCAGGCAAAGCAGAGAAGATCAGTGTTTGGGCTGAAAAACAGCTTCAAAAGCACAGCTGATCCTCTTTTATTACAATTTTTTTATTTTTACTAAACAAATACACACATCTCATGCATCTCTTCCACAGTCATTACTTACATTCATATCAAATGTCAAAGTTCTTAATGAGTTTTACTTTCAGCATATCATAGTTCTCATTTGACTGAAATTGTTTTAGTGTCCTTTTGCCCAGAATAATCCATAGTTAAAAACACATTAGCCATGAAAGTCAACAGGGTGACTTTGGGCCAGTCACCAGGCAACCAGGAGTTCTAGTTCCACTTTAGCCATGGTGGGGTTTCTACCTGGTGGGGTGACTTTTTCTCTGGCTTGGAAAGAGACTACAGTTTTGTCTAGTGGTTAAGGCACCAACCTAGAAAGTAGGAGACAGTGAGTTCTAGTCCCACCTTAGCCATGAAAGCCAGCTAGATAATTTTGGGCCGATCACTAGGAGACTGGGCATTGTAGTCCCACCTTAGCCATGAAAGCCAGCTGGGTGACTTTGGGCCAATCACCAGGAGACTGGGAGTTCTAGTCCCATCTTAGCCATGAAAGCCAGCTGGGTGATTTTGGGCCAATCACCAGGAGACCGGGAGTTCTAGTCCCACCTTATCCCTGAAAGCCAGCTTAGTGAGTTTGGGGCAATTACCAGGAGACCGGGAGTTCTAGTCCCACCTTATCCCTGAAAGCCAGATGGGTGATTTCAGGTCAGTCATTCTCTCTCATCCCAACTCACTTCACAGGATTGTTGTTGTTGTGGGGAAAATAGGAAGAGGAAGATGTGTTGAATACGTTTGCCACTTCAGGTTGTTTGTAAAAATAAAGGTGGGATATCAATAAATATATATAATTGGGACTAGAATTTCCATTGCTAAGCAAGGCTGCAGTGAAACATGCTCAATTTTAAGCCTCCCCCTTTGCCAGGCTTATTAATCACTGCAGTTGTTAGGTGAAAAAAATATCAAGTAGAACATGAAGAGTGCGAGTAAGAAGTGGTCTAGCTAGCACACCTTTCTCGTTTTCTGTTGTGGCACGCCAGTGGAGCTGGCAGCAGATTCAGACAGTGAGGAGGTTGGGGAGGAGAATGGGCCAGTCCTGGAGTCTGGGGAAAGGCTCTGATGAGGGCTTTGTGTTGGAGGCAGAGAGGAGGCCAGGACCGTATGCCAGTTATCAGCTGCCTTCGGAGTCGGAGATCAGTGAGGCAGACGAACAGCTGGAGCCAGTTCTCAGTGTGCGCATGTGCATAATTGCCAGANCCCCCCCTTGGATTGTGAGCCGCCCTGAGTCCCCCCAGGGAAAAGGGCGGCATACAAATAAACAATTACAATTACAATTACAATCATCAGGAAGCTGTTACATTTGTAAAGTACAAGACTTATCAATATTTCAAGAGTGTCGTATCTTTGCTCCTAAACCAACTGGCTGCCTTGAAATGTCTTAAGCTTAAGGAAGTGCCTTAAGCTGAAAGAAACACCTTAAGCTCAAGGAAATGCAAAACAGGACTGGTGCATTGGTGATTTTTTCAAACACGGCTTTAGAGTTGCATTAGACTTTCCTTCAGGCGTAAGTCTTGATCAGTTCTTAGTATTGGTTTGGTGCTCCTCAGGATCTTTCTTAGAAAATAAAGCTACGTGTCAGATCAAAGACTAAAACACAAATAGAAAATGGCGAGACATGGGTTCTCTCCGCATGCTGAGCAAGACCCAAACCGTGTTAGAACTTCCTACCTGTGCATAGACAGAGCCAGATGTTTCCCGGTTCTCGTTCAGCCTCCAGGAGAACTCCTTGGGCATGGATGGGGCGATCTGCATTGCCACGGCACTGACAGGAAGACACAACCTCACCTACATCAAGTAAGTACCTTTGGTGAACTAGAACAGCCTTTCCCCAAGGGGTCCCTACTGGAGAGGTTGGTCCAGAAGCTCCAGAAGTCCCTACTGCCATGCTTATGGTGAAGTGAAGGTCATGTGGAGTTTGGTTTTTTTAGACTCACCAGCATAATCATTAAGGCCATACAGGTGTGCCTTAGCTAGCATACTTGCCTATAATAGTGACGGCAAACCCGTTTTTAACTCCAAAATGGCTGAAAAACAGCCTGAAAACAGCCGAAAAATGCCCCCCCCCCAAGGCCCTAAAAATGGCCTGTTTTTTGGCCGTTTTCCAGTGCTCCGGCACCCGTGAAGATGCACGCCGTAAGATGCACAATGGTGCGTGTGCCCACAGAGAGGGCTCTGTGTGCCGCCTCTGGCACATGTGCTATAGGTTTGTCAACATGGGCCTATAAGCTTAGATATTCTGGACCCCTAATGCACAGGTAAGTGTCAACCGAGAAGACCTCAGTGCTTGGAAAAATCAAAGGCACTTGAAAAAGAAATCAACAGAAAGCAAGGTGGCCAACCGTTGCCACTGATGATCCAAACAGGAGCTCCAAGCAGCTGTTAGGCTTTCTGAAGTGATGGGTTTGGTCAAGATGGGGCAGAAGGGACTGAGTGACAACCAATGGCAGAAAGTAAGCACTGAAGGTACAACTCACACCTCATCCCAACCTGATGCAATTGGCTAGCTGGTCAGTCTAAAGGAAGTTTTTGTGTTGAAGTGGCCCCCTCTAAAGCTTCCTTCTTTTTTGTTTCTCCCACAGCTTACTGGGAAATAAAATCGGCGAGTCGGGAGCGAAGGTGATTTCCGAGGCCATCCGAGCAAAAACCCCTAGCTGCGTGGTGGAGATATAAAGCACCGTTGGGACTACGTTGGAGGAAGAAGGTGGCGTTTCGCATGCCTGGATGGACACCTTCCCTGTGCCCATTTGACTGAGGGCATGGTGAAAGGATGGGTGTCCTTGAAGGCCCGGGCTAGACCTGAAGGGGAGATGCAGCCATGAAACTGAGATCAAAGAGAAGCCCGACTCACTCTCAACCAATCATGAGCATCCTTGATTTTTTGCTCTTGAGGAGGATGGTTGGATGAAGCAGCATGACCAAAGCTGATTTGAGAGAGGCCGGTAGATTGATTTTGGAATTATGGTATTTTTCGGAGTATAAGATGCACCTTCCCCCCCCCCCCAAAAAAGAGGGTGAAAATCTGGGTGTGTCTTATATTTTTTGATCGTTTTTGCCACCACCACCACCCTTCAGCCTCCAGAAGCACTCTACAAGCCTCCCAAAGCCTATGCATGCCCTTTTTTTGTGTGTGTGCAAAAAATGGGCCCATTTTCGTGAAAAATGGGCAATTTTTTGCTCTTTTTTTGCCCCCCCCGCCCCCGGAGCACTTTGCAGGCCTTTTAAACTCTCTGCATGTCCCATTTTTCACAAAAAACGAGGCATGCAGAGAGTTTGGAGAGTCTGCAGAGTGCAAACACAGTTTTTTTAAAAAATTGCCTCTTCAAAATCTTGCTGTGTCTTACAGTCTGAAAAATACGGTATGTTTTCTTGACTTTGTCAACTGGGCGCAAAGATAACAGAGTAAAGACAAGGGAGAGGAAGTGAAGAGCATTTACTGGCAAAATACAGGAACGTTACAGTCAAAATCAGAAGGAAAGAAGACGGTCATTGCCAATCTAAGAGTTGCGAATCAAGGCAGATGTCAGTACAGAACGAAGTTCACACTTCCTGGCTTGAGCAAAATGGTCTATCAAATGCTTCCATGAATCTGAAGAGAGACGCTTCTACAGACGGACCAGGGATGGGATTAGAGTTGTATATGATTAATTCAGTTAAAATAAACTCTTGTTTTTCCTAGAGCTATTTTCCCCCTCCCTCTGATGAGTTTCCTCAATGGACCAACTTGGAATTGGATGTATCAATTAGCTTCAAGGACAAATGGGAGTTCAAACAACTGGAAAAGCTCAAAACCCTTCAGCTTCTTCTCCTCGGAGGGAGTTTTCTCCACTTAGCTCAACTGACAATTTTGCCTTGATCTTTTGACCAAAAAATAATAAGTATTATTTTTCATCTGTCCCGGACAGTTGGCTTCTTGAGGGCTCAACTGCAATCTGTAAAGTAGAGACAAATTCAGGCTCATCCTAAGTCATCCTAAACTGCTCTTTGATACAAAATTTTGTTTCTAGACTGTTTCTAGAAGGAACTTCCATGTTGTGTGTGTGTGTGTGTGTGTGTGTTGCATTTGTGCTGATAAGGCAACAAGGCAACATAAAAAACTGGCTTTCTGCCTGGATGGCTCCTAGGGTGAGCCGATAGACAGAAAAGGGAAGCAGTATGCTCCCTCCCATATTTAGGTATGCCAGGGTTTGTGACACAATACATATATATATATCATCACTCTCTTGGACAGCTTGCCCTGCCTCAACATAGCCTCATCACACGGATAGTCATGGGCAAGTTGTCATTCGTCATCCTGGTTGAGGTTCCTCAGAAATCATTATCGCTCTCCTCCAGTGGCTCCGGCTTCCTGACTCTCCGATTGGCCTTGGTGGGGGAGATGTCCATGCTGTCATCTTCCAAATCATCGTCGTCGTCATCGTCATCATCATCCAGGTCAATTTCACTTTCCTCTGAGTCTTCCTGTAGGAAAAAGTGTGCTTGGGTTATCTGATATTTAAAAAAATACACGCCCTGGTCTTGAAGAATTAAAATAGATAATATTTATCCATTAAGAGTGAATGAACACAGTTGCTACCCAGTTAAATAATCTAGGGTCGCTTTAGTTTATTGGGAATAAAAGCTGCAATTTTAAGCAATGTAGCGCTCTGTTGATGTGTTTGAGAGAGACACAGAGAGGCCTGGAGGAGGATCCTTGTCCCCTCTAAGGCAACCTTGCCATCCTCTGAAAATTACAGTTCTACGGGGAAGTACAATGGAAAAAAGGAAGCTTTTGATGGGAAAGAAAGAGATTTATACTGCCAAATTTGCCTTTCCATTTTTTTTATAAAAAAAAACAGAAACAGGAATATTACACTTCCTGATTCTCACATCCTCTAGTGCAAAGGTGTCAAACTCGATTTCATTGAGGGCCGCATCAGGGTTGTGCTTGACCTGGGGGGGGGGGTGGCCAGCTCATGTCAGGGGCACCGGTGTTGGCCCGAGCACTCTGCCAGCAAAAATGGAGCTTGGGAGGGCCACGTGTGGCCCTCCCGAGCTCCATTTTCAGTAGCAGAGGGCTGCACGAGGCTAGAGCAGCCGAAAATGGCTCCAGTTTCACTGGCAGAGGCACCTTGGGAGGGTCCTTCACTGTTCCCAGGGTGGCCCCACGGGCCAGATCTAAGCATTCCGCAGGCCAGATTGGGCTCACGGGGCCTTGAGTTTTGACACCCCTGGCTCTAGTAGGTTTCACCAAAACACAATTGAAACCTTAATAGGTTGCGACAACCCAGAAAATTAGGGCTAAATATGGTTTGACTGAAGTACTCCTGAGAAAGTACACTTGCTTCTTAGTTCTGGGATGACTTCCTTTCATGAGCCTCAGTGGCACAGTGGTTAGAGTGCAGTACTGCAGGCTATTTCTGATGCCTGCTGGTTGCCTGCAATTTGGCAGTTCAAATCTCACCAGACTCAAGGTTGACTCAGCCTTCTATCCTTCCGAGGTGGATTAAAACGAGGAGCCAGATTGTTGCAGGCAAGAGGCTGACTCTAAACCGCGCTGTAGAGGGGTGTAAAGCACTGTGAAGCGGTATATAAGTCTAAGTGCTATTGCTCTTTTCCCCTTCCTTCCTTCCTTCCTTCCTTCCTTCCTTCCTTCCTTCCTTCCTTCCTTCCCTCCCTCCCTCCCTCCCTCCCTCCCTCCCTCCCTCCCATGGTGCACAGTGGTTAGAATGCAGCATTTCAGGCTAACTGACCATTGCCAGCAGTTCAATCCTGACCAGCTCAAGGTTTATTCAGCCGAGGTGGGTAAAATGAGGACCCAGATTGTTGGGGGCAAGAGGCTGACTCTGTAAACTGCTTAGAGAGGGCTGGGAAGCACTGTGAAGCAGTATATAAGTCTAAGTGCTCTTGCTATTAGATCAAAGTGTCTCAATCTTGGTGAGCTCAACTCCCAGAAGTCCACCCATCTTCAGCTCACCAAGATTGAGACACTTTGATTTAATAGCAATAGCATTCGATCAATAGATCTAATAGCAATAGAATTCTGGGAGTTGAAGTCCACTCATCTTGCAAGTTTGCCAAGGTTGAAACACACTGCATTAGATCCAAACCCACCACCACCACTACTTCCCTTGCTGGTGGTCTCCAGACACAAGGTGAAGTTGGGGAGAAGCTGCTGTGGCTGGCCTCCATCCCTAGCAGACGGCATGCCAGCTCTCGCGTCTTACCTTCATCCCTGTCCTCCCATCACCAAGGGCTTCTGATGGTGAGCCAGGACCCCAGGAGCAGAGAAGAGAGGCAAGGGGTATTGTGGGCAAGGGAGGAGGAGGAGGAGGCACAGGGTATTTGGCGGGTCGGAGAGACAACGCACCTTCGCCTTGGCTCGGGAAGCTTTGCGCATTTTGGTTCGGGCTTGGGCTGCCCCGATCTTTGGGAGCAGCAGAATGCGAGGCCACGCAAGATGGAGGTAGGAAGAAATTAAGAGGAACGACACCAGAGAGGGTTAAAAAAAAGTGTGAGTGCAAAAGGCAGCAAATAGAAAAGAGAATTCACATCCGAACAAGGCGGGAGGAGACAGCTTTAGTAGAGTGATTGGCTCAAGTAGGACGGGACCAAGCTTTAAGGCACGGGTGTCAAACTCGATTTTATTGAGGGCCGCATCAGGGTTCTGTTTGACCTCAGGGGGGGCCAGGGGGGGCGTGGCCAGCTTGACGTCACACATATCAGGCACCTGTAGTGGCCCAAGCGCACTGCCAATGAAAACAGAGCTCCGTTTTCGCTGGCGGAGAGTTGCAAGAGGCTGTAGTTGCCGAAAACAGAACTCGGGAGGGCCAGGTGCGGTTCTCCCAAGCTCCATTTTTAAAAATGTTTTTATTATACATTTTCCCTTATACGACAGCACATTTTCAATTTTATGACAGTCCATCTCTTTTCGTCTCTTTCCTTCTCCCCTCCACTTCCCTCCTTCTCTCCTCTCCTCCCTCCTCTTCCTCTCCCCTCCCTACTTCCCTCCTTCTCTCCCCTCCTTTTTCCTCTCCTTCTCTCCCCTCTTCTCCACTCCCCTCTCCTTCCCTTTCTCCTACTCCTCCCCTCTCTCCTTTCCCCTCTCTGCATCCCTCGTCTCCTTCCTTCTCCTCTCCTCCCCTTCCCTCCACTCTCTCCTTCTCCTCTCCCCTCCCTACTTCCCTCCCTTTTCTTCTCCTCTCCCCTCTCCTCCACTTCCCTCTCCTTCTCTTCCTCCTACTCCTCCACTCCCCTCTCTGCTTCCCTCTTCTGTCTCCTTCCTTCTCCTCTTCTCCCCTCTCTCCTTCTCCTCTCCCCTCCCTACTTCCTTCCCCTCCCTTTTCCTCTCCTTCTCTCCCCTCTTCTCCACTTCCCTCTCCTTCCCTTTCTCCCACTCCTCCACTCCCCTCTCTGCTTCCCTCTTCTGTCTCCTTCCTTCTCCTCTCCTCTCCTCCACTCTCCTCTCCCCTCTCTACTTCTCTCCCCTCCCTTTTCCTCTCCTCTTCACTTTCCTCTCCTTCCCTTTTTCCCACTCCTCCATTCCCCTCTCTGCTTCCCTCTTCTGTCTCCTTCCTTCTCCTCTCCTCCCCTCTCCCCTCTCTACTTCTCTCCCCTCCCTTTTCCTCTCCTCTTCTCCACTTCCCTCTCCTTCCCTTTCTCCTACTCCTCCACTCCCCTCTCTCCTTTCCCCTCTCTGCTTCCCTCTTCTGTCTTCTTCCTTCTCCTCTCCTCCCCTCCACTCTCCTCTCCCCTCTCTACTTCCATCCCTTCCCTTTTCCTCTCCTCCACTTCCCTCTCCTTCCCTTTCTTCCACTCCTCCACTCCCCTCTCTGATTCCCTCTTCTGTCTCCTTCCTTCTCCTCTCCTCCCCTCCACTCTCCTCTCCTCC